TGGGGTACCATATGGCATGGGGTACCATATGGCACAGGGTACCATACAGTACAGGACACCATATGGTATAGATACAGGGATAACTATGGAAATAAGTCACCCTGACTTTTTTGGGTTATCCTAGGATTTTATATGTATGCTGCTATGTATGATAATCTATGTAATTGTATTTCTGTACACCTGAATAAACTTACTCAAGTGCATGTGGCATCATAATTAAGTTTATTTAGTTATACACAAATAAAGTTACATAGAATATCATACTTAGCAGCATATGTTTGGAGAACCTAGGATAACCCAAAAAAGTCAGACAGACTTATTTCCATTAGGGTCCCTGTACCCTGTACCATATGGTATAATGTACCATATGAGACAATGTACTATATGGTACATTGTACCATATGGTACCATTGTACCATATGATACCATTGTACCATATGATACCATTGTATGACATGGCACCATTGTACCATATGGTACCATTGTACCATATGGCACAATGGTACCGTATGGTTCAAAACCATAGAATTTGTCTTCAGCTCCACTTCCATCAGTCTTAGAACTGTAAGTTGTGAAGAGGAGAGTCAGAATTCGCCCTGAGAGTGAGTGGGGAGTGAGAGTTTCCTTGCCGCCAGGCACGATGAACAAAGCTACTTTGCCGGCGTTCCCACAATGCCATGCGGGCGTCCAGATTTTTTCTATGGTGTGCACACTGACCACCCAGACCCATTCTCTCAGATGTAGGCCTGCCAGGCTTCTCGCGCTAAATTTGATGCCGCTAGAATTTTGCAGTAGATCTACGGTTTGGACCCTGAACGTAAAGCCGTAGATCTATGGGACGGACCCTGAAAGGGTTAAAATAACTCAACTGTACTTGATATTGTAAATTATCTACAGTAACTGCTATGATAGCTTAGATAATCTTAAGTTAATTTTAAGCCTGCCTGTAATGCTCTGCATACAAGGGGCTTTTGACATGTACACCCAACTACTATAATACCTTGTACAACTATGTATCATGTCCTCATAAATTATTATATATTATTATTATATATTATTATTATTATTATTATTATTATTATTATTATTATTATTATGAGGCATGGAATAATATACAGGAGGGCCCCACTTATATGGCGGGTTAGGTTCCAGGCTACCGCCGTAAAGCGGAAACCGCCATTAAGGGGAACACCCTTTTTTTCCACTTACAAATGCATACAAACACTAGATAACAAGTTTACACTAACATATATTATGTTAGCAATAGAACCAGGCATCAAAAAACAATAAAAAAGTACAATACACACACAGTGCACTCATTACTTACCTTAAAATATTTATAGTCTTAATTTAGGGTGAGACAAGTAGTATTTATTGTAAGAAATCAAGTGTGGTATGTATGGTGTCAGCCAGGCTACCATACCAGGCCACCCCACCCACACATACTATTCTATGATATTTAAGCATCCCAGAGCGATAAAATGTATATACAGTTCACTCATTACTTACCTTAAAATATAGGGTGAGACAAGTAGTATTTATTGTAAGAAATCAAGTGTGGTATGTATGGTGTCAGCCAGGCTACCATACCAGGCCACCCCACCCACACATACTATTCTATGATATTTAAGCATCCCAGAGCGATAAAATGTATATACAGTTCACTCATTACTTACCTTAAAATATAGGGTGAGACAAGTAGTATTTATTGTAAGAAATCAAGTGTGGTATGTATGGTAGTCAGCCAGGCTACCATACCAGAGAGAAAGAATGAGTGCATGAGAGAGGACAGCAGAGTTATGTAAACAAACCAGGCGAAGGTAATTTTTTGTAAACAGTGTACACGTCTGGTTTGTGTACAAGTTACATTGTGTACAGGTTGTCTCTACATTGATATGGTAGAATAAATAAAGAAGAACACTCCCATTCTCATGTAACATCATTTTGAGAAGAAATGATGCTCTGAGTGAAGGCAATGGAAGTAAGTCACTCTGACTTTTTTGGGTTATCCTAGGTTCTCTACACATATGTTATGTATTTATGTTATGTATCGTGTTTATTATATAATTTTTTGAAAAAAAAATATCACGGATGGATTAATGAAATGTGTATATTAACGTAATATACAACATTTAATGATACACCGAGCTCAGACAGCGTAAACAAACTGAACAGGTTGTGGATGATCACTCGGTCAGGCGAAATAGACGGTATTAATACGTGTCCAGTTTTAGTTCATTCATGTACATTTGTAAGAGTTTGTTTAAACTTTTACCTTATAATATTTTTATTATTATTATAATAATTAAATCACGAAACAAATACTCTTACACTGTGTACAAGTTAGTACAGAATTATAGCTATAAAGTGAAGGCATACGAAAGGAATATTTTTCTACAGTTATCCCTAGTAACAGGTGACGGGCTAGAGAAAACGTAATTCTTCCGACACTTCTACAAACCGTTGGTAAACATCTCGTATATATTTGTATAAATTTTTATACTGTGGGTGCATGTATCATGTTTGGGGTGTTACATAATGTTTCTTATATAATTTTGAAAAAAATATCATAGATAGATTAAGGGAAATGTCTATATTAACGTAATATGCGACATTAATGCGCCCAAGAGATTATATTATTACTATTATTATTACTATTATTATTATTATTATTATTATTATTGCATCAAGAGTAAAAGAGACTCTTAGTGATTTTAATGTGTACCTACATGCCAGCACAGTGTGTAAGTTTATTTAGGTACAGGTGTACACAAGTTTAATTATCAAGTACAATACATATAAAATATAAAATAACTTTAAAACACTTGAAATTTTGGAAAGTTTCCAGACATAATAAGGAGATGTGCTCAGGGAGAATGTAAACAAACTCGGTGGGCCGCTGTGACCGTATTAGAAAGACAGGTGGGGGGAGCCGTATAGCGAGTTTTGGTCATAATTTGAAATGTCCGTATTAGCGGAATGCCATAAAGCGAAACGCCGTAAAGCGGGGCCCTCCTGTACCTCCCCAAACCATCAGGAATTTGTGTATGAGTCTTCCTTCATGGCTGAGGGATGTGATTAAGAGTAAAGGATGCAGCACCAAGTATTAAAACATCAGTAAGTGTGCAAATATATATATTATAAGCTTTCATGGTATGTGTTTGTGTTTTGGTATGTGTGTGAGGGAGGGGCAGCATAATGCCATGACTAGCACTGTACTATATACTATGTACAGTGGACCCCTGCCTTATAAAATTAATCCGTTCCTGAGAGCTCATCGTATGCCGAAATTATCGTAAGGTGAATTAATTTTCCCCTTAAGAAATAATGGAAATCAAATTAATCCGTGCAAGACACCCAAACGTATGAAAAAAAATTTTTTTACCACATGAAATATTAATTTTAATACACACAAACTGAAGAAGACATGCACAGTTAATACTCTACCAAGAATAGAATACATGACACTTACCATTATTGAAGATCTGGTGATGACTGATGGGATGGGAGGAGGGGAGAGTGTGGAAGTTGTTATTGTTTAGAAGGGGAATCCCCTTCCATTAGGACTTAAGGTATCAAGTCCTTTTCCGGGGTTACTTCCTTTCTTCTTTTAATGCCACTAGGACCAGCTTGAGAGTTACTGGACCTCTGTCGCACAACATATCTGTCCATAGAGCTCTGTACCTCTCGTTCCTTTATGATTTGTCTAAAGTGGTTCACAACATTGTCATAGTAATAATCACCAGTACGGCTTGCAATAGCCGTGTGAGGGTGATTTTCATCCATAAAGGTTTGCACTTAAAGGCACTCTGCACACATTTCCTTAATCTCTTTTTTCAATTCCATACTAATTCTCACCCTTTTTACCACAGGGATGGCACTAGAAGTTTTCTTGGGGTCCATGGTGACTTATTTTGCAGTTACAAGCACTAAAAATACTGGGATAATGTGAAATGTACCGAATGTATGCATAGATGCGACCACACTGGCGCTGAGGCCACACGTGGGACGCATCTTGGATGAATCACGTAAGGTGAGTTTTTTAGTGTGAGGCGAGGCAAAATTTTTGCGTTAAAATGTATCGTATGGTGGATTTAACGTAACGCAATGCCATCGTAAGGCGGGGGTCCACTGTATTATAATTTTTTTTTTCCAACAAACTGGCCGTATCCCACCGAGGCAGGGTGGCCCAAAAAGAAAAACGAAAGTTTCTCTTTTTAAATTTAGTAATTTATACGGGAGAAAGGGTTACTAGCCCCTTGCTCCCGGCATTTTAGTCACCTCTTACAACACACATAGCTTACGGAGGAAGAATTCTGTTCGACTTCCCCATGGAGATAAGAGGAAATAAACAAGAACAAGAACTAGAAAGAAAATAGAAGAAAACCCAGAGGGGTGTGTATATATATGCTTGTACATGTATGTGTAGTGTGACCTAAGTGTAAGTAGAAGTAGCAAGACGTACCTGAAATCTTGCATGTTTATGAGACAGAAAAAAGGACACCAGCACTCCTACCATCATGTAAAACAATTACAGGCTTTAGTTTTACACTCACTTGGACGGTAGTACCTCCCTGGGCGGTTGCTGTCTACCAACCTACTACCTAGAATGTATTATATATATACTATATATTATACTACAGCCTCTCCTCACTAACAACGGAGTTCCGTTCCTGGGACCATGTTGATAAACGAATTCGTTGTTAAGTGAGGAGTATATTATAATGGTAGTGGGTTTGTGTCGACCATCTTTGATATTTTAATGTCACCTTTGCACCATTTATAGCTTTTCTGGTATATTTATAAATGTTTATACAATAGTGTACTGTATATTGTAATAAACATAATAGAGGAAATCAACTCTAATATATATTATTTAGGTATGCATACTGGTCAGAGAGCCCGTTGTGAGTCAGAGTCATCGTCACTAAGTGAGGAGAGGTTGTATATACTATATATTATACTATATACCATATACAATACTATATATCTTATATTACCAATATCATCATCTGGATGTGGTGTATTTATGGGTACTGGTTTCTCCTTGCCTATGTACTGTGGATATTTCTGTCGTACAAACTGATGAAGGCCTTCCAAAATGGTTTCCCTGAAATTATAGTAAAAATAACAATTAAAACTGTTACTGGTAACTTAAATCACTTCTTCTACCTGGCCATGAGCAAGGATGGTGTAATATGATAACAGATGTGTCAGCCAGGCAATATAAATGCTATAAAAGACAAACTGTAAAATGACTATGCAAGCTGTATGCCATTTTTTCCACACACTGCTCTGCTCTATAATAGGCATACCATTTTTATTTGCACTGATACACTTTCAGTAATCCCATGATTTAATCCTTTCACTGTCTCCCATACAGATCTACATTACTGACACCAGTGTCAGTAATGTAGATCTATGTTTGAAACACAGTTCCTTCAAATATGCTGTGAGCAGTAAATTTTGGCCTAGACAGTCAACTCAAGTTTATTCTCTATAATGGTTACAATGTGGGGTTTACAGGTTTTGGGTATTTTGTGGTTTACATGTTATAAAATACTAATTACAGAGGGGGCCACTAGGACACCTAGCATGGCTAGGCATTTCGAGCAGACTTAGATTAATTCTTAACATTAAGTCCTTACAGATTATAGTATTATGGCTAAGTGACTACATCATAATTTTGAGTTTAGCAATGTGAATGCTTTTGTTTTGGCACAATACAAGGTGTCTATATTTGAGTAACATAGGCAAACTTATGACTAGTTAGGATTTATTATTTTAAGATTAAGATTAGTATTTCTGGGTTTATAGTCAGTGGGTGAGTGAGTGTAATTGTGAACCACCAGGTGGTTATCATGTAGTTAGTTGTCGGGGTGGATCAGGGAGATAAGATGTTTTCTAACTGTAGTTTTGAAAGTGATGAATGTGTCTGCAGTTATAGAGTTTTCAGGTAGGGTGTTCCAGATTTTAGGTCCTTTGAAATACATTGAATTTTTGTAAAAGTTTAGTCGAACACGGGGAATGTCATAGAGATGTTTGTGTCTGGTGTTATGCCTGTGGATCCTGTCACAACTATCAAGAAAGCATTTTAGGTCAAGGTTAATATTGGAATTTAAGGTTCTGCAGATATAGATTGCACAGTAGTAAGTGTGGATGTACTGAACAGGGAGTAAGTTTAGATCAATGAAGAGTGGGGGGGTGTGTTGCCAGGGATGGGATTTAGTGATTATTCTTACTGCGGCTTTTTGTTGGGTTATTATTGGCTTTAGGTGTGTTGCTGCAGTTGAACTCCAAGCACAGATAGCATAGGTGAGGTATGGATATATAAGTGAATGGTATAGTGTGAGAAGGGCAGTTTGCGGTACGTAGTATCGTATCTTGGAGAGGATCCCCACCATTTTGGATACTTTTTTCGTTATGTGCTGGATATGGGTGCTGAAATTTAGGTTGTTGTCGAGGTATAGGCCAAGGAATTTGCCCTCATTATGTCTGGCAATTAGAGTGTTGTCGATCTTAATGTTAAGTTGCGCAACACCTGCTCTGCTACCAAACATAATATAGTAGGTTTTGCCAGTGTTAAATGTAAGTTTATTGGCTGTCATCCAAGTCGATATTTTGACATGAGAGAATGGGTCTGTGTGGTGAGTGTGTATAGTATAAAAATCCTGTCTCATGCAGTACATGATGGGGAAAACAAACTTTTGATCTCATGTTTAGATTAAAATGTTGATTTTGAAGTGTTTTTTGGGTGTTTTAATTTTTTTAATTGGCTGTTTCTTGTGACCAGCTGACAGAATGAAAAATATACTAGTGAAACCCACTGCCTGTGAGCAGCGGCAGTGGCTTCCAAGCTCTGCACTTTACTCCAAAACCAGAGCCTACCAATGCTCCTATGATGACCTAGTTGGAAGCAAAACTGCACTAACCAACATAGTACCCAGAATGACCAAAGATTACCAACAGTGAAGCCTACAAATCTCGTACATCAACAATCAAAGGAAGACTGCTCAAACCCAAAGCAAAATCCCGCTGCCTGACGAAAATGTACCCCAAGCTTTGTATAAATATAGCTTCTTAACCACAACAACTTCTACTATTCTTGTATTACTATAAAGTGTAATCTCAGAGGAAACAGCATCAGGACCAGCAAGACAACACTGAAAACTTGACTACTCAACTTGTCTGCCCAGGATGCCGACTCCAATACCACCCCTCTCACCACCGCCCAGGGTGACGCAACAACAGTAACACCAAACATAGCTGGCTCTCCCTCAACCTCTTTCTTCTCTGGATTCAGCCTACCAGGTAGTCTCTCAGGTATGACCAACGATCCAGACACCCTTAAGTCATATATCTCCACCTTAATTACAGAAAATATGAATCTTCGTGAAACGCTAACTAAACAAGACACACCTTGAGAACAAAATCCTCAGTCTTGAACAAAATTTATCACCATCTGGAATGACTAACTTTGCCAAGACCTTCCAAACAGTCATAAATAGCCACACAGAACAAATAACATCTAATACAAAGGTTGAGGAAGCAATAAAAGAGTGGAAGAACAACTTGGATAACCAGTTCAGTGACTACTTTTCATTCCAAGAGGACAAAACCGAGCAAGAAAAATTATCAGATGCAGTAATAGTTAGCAGTCTTCATTTTCCCAGTGATACGAACCAAGCAAACAGTAAAGAAATTACTCTCCAGATCATACAGGATCAAACAAGTGTTACTGTACCAGAGCCAGAAATAAAGGAAGCCAGGTTGCTAGGATCCCACTGTAGAAAAAGTGTTATGCTTAGATTCCACACACGACAGGAAAAAAGACCTAATTAGCGCATCTATAAGAGAAAAATGGAGGTATACATAAACGAGTGTCTAACCAAAAAATGGCAGAACCTACTGTACAGAGTCAAAAAACTTAACTGGGAGAATACTGACAAAATCCACCAATGCTTCACAAGGGACAGGAAAATCCTAGTGAAGAAAACAAATGTAGGCCAACTGTACACGATCTCAAATGAGAATGAACTATCACGATTCCTTCGGGATGCTAATCTTACAGAGACTTATTAAACAATGTCCAAACCAAAAGCCTACATTGTAGTGTATGTTTTGCTCCATTATTGTACAAATTCAAGGTGCTATATCTTAATAATCAAAATCACCTACCTTAGCATATGTGATTTTACTAGTGAGAATTAACCACCTTATGTTATATATTTTTCTTAAATTAATACAGTGGACCCCCAGTTTACGATCAGCTCCCAATGCGGCCAATTATGTAAGTGTATTCATGTAAGTGCGTTTGTATGTGTATGTTTGGGGGTCTGAAATGGACTAATCTAATTCACAATATTCCTTATGGGAACAAATTCGGTCAGTACTTGCACCTGAACATACTTCTGGAATGAAATAATATCGTAAACCGGGGGTCCACTGTATTACTTGCTTAATATTGGTTTAATAAATACTATCTGTCCATTCTGCAATCCCATTTTTTAAATACTATTAACCCTTTGAGGGTTTCGGCTGTACTAGTACGTCTTACGCGCAGGGGTTTTTGACGTACTAGTATGCATAAATTTTAGCGCTGTCAAATCTCGCAGGAAAAGGCTGATAAGCCTAGATGTGAGAGAATGGGTCTGTGTGGTGGGTGTGCGCAGTAGGAAAAAAATCTGGGACCCAGTGGTGCATTGTGGGAATGCCATCATAGTACACAATGTCCACCGTGCCTCGCGGTAAGAAGTTCCTCACTCCTCGGCGAATTGGGACACTTTTGTTCCCCAGTGACAGTTCTAATACAGATGGAAGTGACAGTGAAGATGAGTGAAGATGAGGGTTTGACCGAAACTAATGACCATAATATGGGTAATAGTGAGGAAAACCCAGACAACCCACAGCCTTCCACCTCTGGTGCTGGGCCGTCTTGTTCACGTTCAGTTGTACCAGAATCAAAGAGGAAAACTCCTATTTTCCCAAAAATCCCAGACTCAGATGTGAGCATTGGTGATGATAGTGATAGTGATTATGAACTACAAGCTCTTCAAACTTGTTCCAAGAACGGAGGAGGAGGAGGAGGCAGAGGAGGAGGAGGCAGAGGAGGAGAGGGCAAGAGGAGGAGGAGGCAGAGGAGGAGGAGGAGGAGGAGGAGGAGGAGGAGGAAGAAGAAAGAAGAAAAAGAAGAGGAGGAGGAGGGGAGGAGGAGGAGGAGGAGGAGGAAGAAGAGGAGGAGGAGGAGGAAGAAGAGGAGGAGGAGGAGGAAGAGGAGGAGGAGGAGGAGGGGGAGGAGGAAGAAGAGGAGGAGGAGGAGGAGGAGGAGGGGGAGGAGGAGAGGAGGAGGAGGAGGGGAGGAGGAGGAGGAGGGGAGGAGGAGGAGGAGGAGGAGGAGAAGAAGAGGAGGAGGGGAGGAAAAAGAGGAGGAGGGGAGGAGGAGGAGGAGGAGGAAGAAAGGAGGAGGAAGAAGAGGGGGGGAGGAGAAGAGGAGGAGGAAGAGGAGGAGGAAGGAGGAGGAGGAGGAGGAGGAGGGGGGAGGAGGAGGAAGAGGAAGAGGAAGAGGAGGAGGAGGAGGAGGAGGAGGAGGGGGGAAGAAGGGAGGAGGAGAAGAAGAGGAGGAGGAGGAGGAAGAAGAGGAGGAGGAGGAGGAAGAAGAGGAGGAGGAGGAGGAAAAAGAGGGGAGGAGGAGGAGGAGGAGGAGGAAGAAGAATACGTAATGATAACAATAATACATAATAATAATAATACATAATAATAATACATAATAATAATAGGTAATAATAATAATAATATGTAATAATAAATGTTCACCCATGACAGTAACAAGATAAGGGGAGATAACATCTGATAAGTGCTGACGTTTGATGAGGGTAAATGAGGGTGCAGCTGATACCAAAAGATGAGATGAACATCGCCCTCCCTTTGTTTTTGCTGGTATACTAACATTTCTGTCTGTCTATTTGCCTGTCTGTCAAGCTCCCTGTCTATCTGTCTATCCGTCTAGCTCTCTGTCTCAGAGAGCCACAAGACTGCGTCATCACTTTTACTCACATCTTCAAGCAGAGTATAGCACTTTGTCTGGGTTTCTTGGGGTTTTTCCTAGGTAAT